GTGTTTTTTTTTTTTTTTTTTTTTTTTTTAATTTATATATACATACACACATAACTTTCCTTCTTACACGAGGAAAAAAGCAAGGGCTTGACCATCTAGCTTTAATAAAAGAATTTTAAGGCCCCGTTCATTTTATTAATTCGAGTTTTGTTTTTTTTTTTTTTTTTTTTTTTTTTTTAATTTATATATACATACACACATAACTTTCCTTCTTACACGAGGAAAAAAGCAAGGGCTTGACCATCTAGCTTTAATAAAAGAATTTTAAGGCCCCGTTCATTTTATTAATTCGAGTTTTGTTACAGTAAAAAGTTCTCAGAAACAATCACATCTAACTTTTTTACTACAGTAAAAAGTTCTCACATAAAATTATATCTCAACTCAAATTAAAAACTCTAATCAACGAACTAAACGGGCTCAATTAATTTACTAAAGCCCGTATGTTTTTGCTCAAAAAGAAAACTCCTCTGACGAACTTTTCTCAGTTAATTTGAAGGGACCCATTTTGAAGAAAAAGAAAGTACAAGAATTTTATTTTATTATTTAATGTACGTTTAGTTCATTGATTTAAAATTTTAATTTGAATTGAAATATGACTTTATGTGAGAATTTTTTACTGTAATAAAAAAATTAAATATGACTGTTTTTAAAAACTTTTTACCTCGAATCAGTAAAATAAACAATGTTTTAATAGTAAATTTGTTTGCGTGTTTGTTTTGTTTTGTTTGTTTTTGTTTTTGTTTTTTTGGGAGCCACAAATGCATATTTATAAAGACACAGTAACGGATGTGAAGAAGAAAATATACAAATAAAAAATAGGTTAAATCCCTTTAATTAGTCGTGGTTACTCTCATAATCACTGCCCACTCTACTTTTCCTGTAGTTTCGCACAAAAAATCTAACGACCCAAGTAACCCACGTCTGTGAGTTTGCATTTGTGTGTGTGTCTTTCTCTTTCTCTTGATAAGAGTGGTAAAACTTACAACATATAAGCCGGGTTTATAAAATAAAAATAACTAAGCGTGTTTACTAAAATCAAACATTATACGTAATTTCAAAAAAAAAAAAAAATCAAACATTAGTCCTTAAAAGAAAAAAAACCCAATAATTTCTAAAACAAATAGAACTATTACATTAAGCTGGTTGACGAAACGATGAGCTTGTTTGATAACGTTTTCAAAAAGATTTTGTTTTTAATATAAAAGTAAAAATGAGATTTTTTGATGATTCTAAAATCACGTTTGGTTAGTTTTATAAGAGATTATTTTGAGTATAATAAAAAAGTAAAATCGTGTTTGGTTATAATTATTAATTAATATATTATAACTTTATTGACTAGAAAATGAAAACAGAAAAGGAAAAAAAACTTTCAATTATTTTCTAATTCCTTCACAAAAATCATTCTCATTTTTTTTGTTTTCAAAATATTTACTAAACAAGTAAGGTTTGAAGACCATTTTTATTTCCGTGTCTCAAAAGATGCGCAAAAACATTTTAAAAAAGAAGTACAAATTAATTCCAACCTGGTGTTTTTTTAGTTTGTTTTTGAAGACGAAGACATTTGTAATACGATCTTTAAAGTTCATTGTATCTGGTTTTTTATTTTTTATTTTTTATTTTTTTTAAAGAATCTGCATTCTATTGTAAAATTTATATAACTTGAATGAAAAGAAGGTTATTATTATTGTGTTACCTCTTTGTGAAGGTTTTTCGGGTGGATTTGTCTATGGGTTCTGTGTGTTCTACATTTTTATATTTCTATTAAAAAAAGAGATTTTCGGGTACGCCGGTGTACCGGTAGGTTAAGTTTTTTAATTATTAGATATGTGTAATTTTTAAATTTTACGTGATTTTATGCAATTCGACGTACATGAAATTTGACCTACTGGTATGTTGGCGTACCGAAAAAGGTATAAAAAAAAGACTCATTACTAAAAAATAAATCAAAAAATCATTGTGATACCATATGTTATAAAAAAAATTATGTTACCCTATTTTTTTTTTCAAAATATATACAAGCACCTTGGTACTATTAATAACGCCAATTTATCTTATGATATTTTTTGAAGACATCAAATGTATAAGCTACCTTTCTCATTAATTAATAAAAAATAATAATTGTAAATGCTTGACTGTTGTTTTGAGTTTTTTTACATTTTTTTAATTTCAAATATATTTTCAAGTCATTTTTTATTTTTTTTAATACATTAGAAGTGGACATTCTATATTTCGAAAAAAAAGGGCTTCAAAGTATGGTACCAAAGGAACCCTTTTAAAAATTCCGAGCTAGCATTTTAGTAATATGAAAAACAAGAAGTATCAAAATGATTATTTTCGAACACCTGATACAAAAGCGGTTTTTCTACAAATAAAAAAAATAAATAACCCAAGAAAGTTTTGAGCGTCTTTATTTCTTATTAAAAGAAGTTTGATACTGATTTAATAAACGAAAAAATTGCAAAATCTATAGGACGAGTAGTAAAAGTAATAGCCGCGTATGGTCAGTAACGTGTGCAATATCGCAATAGCCAATATACCAAGAAAAACAGGCTTAAAACCCAATATTTAGTGGTAGTTACTGATCTCGTGATCATCCCCTCTCTATTTACCTATAAGTTCGCACAATATCCAACTGCCCACCTTCCCACGTCTCTCTCTCTCTCTCTCCCTCTCTCTCTCTCTCTCTCCCCCCCTCTCTCTCTCTCTCATTCTCTCTCTCTCTCCATCTCTCTCTCTCTCTCAGTCTCTCTCTCTCTCTCTGATCTCGTGATCATCCCCTCTCTATTTTCCTATAAGTTCGCACAATATCCAACTGCCCACCTTCC